CTGTATATCATTACACCTGTAGAGTTTTTCACCTTCAAATATTACCTGTCCTTGCCAGACAATGTCTGTCAGGCCATTTGAGCCGCTCTTATTACTTTGACCAATCCCATTACGTGGTGCATCTCTGTCAATATTTGCAATTGCATTCTGTAATTCAGTTGTACTGGTTTGTCAACTACCATACTCAACAATCTGAAAGACCGGATGCTAGTGTTAAGAATGTATCCATGTGTATGTTTGTGGAAGGGTGGGTGGGGCAAGAAGATGAGGGCTAATTTCTCAAGTTAATGGAGAATATTAGTACATATTTTTATTTTTTCCTACCCCAACTAACAATACCTGAATAGTGAATTTGAAAACGAAGATTCTGGGTAGTTTGTACAAAACACAAATATAAAGGTGTGAGCATGATATGGGCTGTATAATATATTACAGGTTAATTCAGGTAGCAGTCCAAAAATCTACCAACAGAGAAAACTCAGTAAATTAAAGCAGATTCACAGTGTGGAATGCCTTCTACTATAAAGAACAGGATAGGCTCTACATGCAATGAAGTGCCAATATGCTCTCAAAAAATTATTAGGGTAAAATACATTAAAAACCATTTGTTGTTTAACCCTGTGAAGTGTGCAGTTCAGTGACATTAACTATATTCATTATGTTGTGCACCCTTCACCACTACCAAACAATTCACTATTGTTTCTGAAGGAAGAAAAAAATAAAGGGTGTTTTATGTAGTCTGAGTGCACCAGTATAAAAGCAATCATGTGTGTGCATAGGCTTTTATCGGTTAAACTTCCGGATGAACACAAGAGCAACTCTTAATAAAGATGAACTCTCGGGAATGAGACCAGGATTTTCCTTTTCCTATCTTCTGTACAAGTGAACTCTACCAGGAACACATGCTGTTCTCTATCAGTAGGGCTGGGGTGGGGCTGAAGGGACAACAGCTGTTCTTTAACAGAGACTCGAAAAGGAAGACTTGGAAAAGGGGTGCACAGAGCACCAGGCTTGCGCACGGACATTTAGTAAACTGGTCATGAAAAGTCTCACCAGCCTTTCCTTCCTGGATTTTTACAACTTTCACACTGAAAGTCATGTTTAGAAGATTAGAGAGATGTACTGCACTACAGAGAGATGTACTGCACCACACCTTGTCCACAACAGTGACACATTTCTCCACAGTTCCTGTGCACATCAGTGATTAGACGGGAGCACATGCCATACCTTCTCTGAGAAACAAGTGAGCAGAGGGGTGTGAAGATAGCAAAAAGTTAGAACCACTGGCTCAAGACCTAGCCACTTCAAAATGGTGACCACCGACTTACGTCCTTACTCTGCCAGGTTCTGGGAGACAGTGAACAAAACCAACCCAGTTCCTGGCTTCCTAAGAGGCTCTAGTCTCATTTGAAGAAGTATTTGTCAAAAACTCAGAAAAGCGTATGTAATATTGCACCGGTGCTTAGAAGAAAAAGATAAGACTCTATAAGGGCTCATCATACTCATGTTTGTACTCTAAGACACAGCAATGCAGTCAACTAGCAAGTCACCTCAATCCTTTATTTTTCAAAGATAACCATTCATATAAGATAAAATCTCATTCATCCAACCACTTCTGCAGAATTTGGTATACTTGTTTTTAAGACAGTGAAAACCAATTCCCCTGTTTATTGACTTCTGCTGCCCAATTCAGAACTGATTTATCTATTAAGTAGGTTAGTTCAGGTAAGTACTCTACTTAGGATGGTTGGTTGTTATAGTTTATCTGCTATTTAATCCTGTCAATCTGTTGCAGTGGTTTTAGGAAAAAGCCTATCTACCCCAGCTATATCTCTAAGTCTAAAGAGAGCTTAGGTTGTTACACCACGCAACTATAATTCAAGCTGCTACTCGTCACACTCGTCACCACCTCTGCCTATGCGAGCTACTCAAAGTGATGATGACACACAACCGCTGGGGTCAGTATTTCAGTTTACCCCAGCAACCACACACTTATCAGAGGCAAAAGACTGTATTTTCAAAAATGGAAATACACTGAAAATGGTGCTTGCTCTGCATTAATTTAATTCATATTCATTCAATACATATTTACTAAGCAACTTAACTACATGCCTGGAAAAGTTCTGATGTTACAATTATATGATTTTCCTTAATGTTTTTTCTTCCTTTTAGGAGCTGAGTTTGGTGCTGGAAAGGGAAAGAAAGAAGAGGGGTGAGACAAGGTATGTGCCATAATAAATAGCACATACAGGACGCTGAGAGCAGAGAAAGGAGAAACCATGTCTGCTGGCAAGTTGGAAGGGTCCACAGAGTGAAGATAACGTCTCGGTGAGCCAAGAAGCTGTCTAGGCATCTCCCTCCAGTGTGGGCTCCCACAATCACAGCTCCCTTATCCCGATTCACATGGCACTACTTGATAACCAGTGTCTCCTAAGGACAATTTTATAGTCAAAGGCGAGGCATATGTGCGTTAGGCTTATGATAGAAGAAAAAGATGTGTTACTATAGTGCCTCTCCAATCACAACGGATGGATCTCCCAAACCCACTTTTGGGAATAGGCAAAGCAGATTTGAATAGAAGATTGTATGGTTAAAATGTTTGCAATAAACTTAGAAAACCATGTCATAGTGTGAGAGGGAAAAACTACCCGGGTCTGGAGTAACTTTAACCTCGCAGCGAGAGCAATTGTGCACAGATATAAGCAGGAAATAAATCAGAGTCTCTCTAGGCAAATGGCTCTAAAGGATACGTCTAGACCAAAAAGGCAAATGCCCAAGAAATAATTTCTTTTAGCAACAACAGCCGTACAACCCAGGCAGTAGATAAATTTACAGAGGAACACATTTTCATTACAACAAACAAACAGAAAACCCACCAACTACATATAAAAGCCAAACTTGCTGATCCGAACACAGCAAATGACAAAATCAGCAAAACTTCTCCACCATGACATACAGCAGAGTAAGGTCGATCAAGATTATTTTCCTGTATTATTATGCTGTAAGCGTTCAAAGATTTAACATCATACAAGAATGGTAGATACAACTCCCAAATTTTAGATACATGTTAAAGAAAGTTTGAAGCTACTAGTCTCTTTCTTCTTTTTTAGCTATCAAATGCATGAAATTGAATCCCTGTCCCCCTTTCTTCCACAGGTAAATGAAGCAAAATTGCCTACCAAGCGTGATTAAATTTCAGATCGAGCTAGAGGCTAAATAAAGCTTAACAGTCATTGGAAATGAGCAGATTATAGGATGTTCATAGGAAAATAATTTTGAAAAATTAAAACCAGTGTTAAAGTTTAAAGATCAACTTAAATGGTAAATTTCAAAATTCAATGTGTAACCCAGGCTCTCTATACAAATAGCATCTAACCCACATTTCAGGTGGAGGAACAAGAGGAAGGTGGTTATCAGGACAGTAATGATATGCATGTGGTTCTGTCTGTAAAATTCCAACAATAAAGCCAGCCCATATGTATTTCTGGGCTAAAGGAAGATTGATAGATAAATGCCCTTTTCAGAGACAAACTCTACTTTATCTTTCCCTTTAAAGGCATAAAATTCCCTCTTGTGAGTTCAGAGATGTATCCTAAGCACCATATAAACCACAACAAAAATGTGCCCCAATTCAAAAGAATCGGGCGGAGGCGTCCCACTTCTGTGCAGTGTTACAATCTCTGAAACCCACCGGGGCAGTTCTCCTTTGCCCTGTAGCATGTTATGAGTCAGAAATGACTCAATGACAGTGAGACTGAAATCAATAATTTGGTTTTAATTAAGCTTGCTAAGAATTTAATATTAGATTGCCTTTTGTTCTCTCAAAACTCAAGAATGATTATCTTTTAGATTCTTTTCAAAGAAACCAAAAAATCAAAACCACTACCACCAAGTTGATGATCTCCTTCAAAAACTCTACTGTGACAGAGTCGAATCTGTTCACAGCGACCCCACGCAGGGCTTCAGAGGCCATGTGTTTTACGGGAGCAGACTGCCTCTTCTTTCTGCCATGGATCAGCTGGTTGCGGGGAGCAGTCCAACTCTGACCTGGCAGCCCTCAGAGCTCCGGGTAAATATGAACATTTCTCAAAGCACCAATCACAAGGCCTTAGTTATCTTACAGGTGTGAGCCTGGCTTTTGAAAGGAGAATTCTTGTAGACTTCAAATGTCTAATGCTACACATTTCTTTACCTTCAACAAATCAAGATGAAATGCATTTACCTTCAACAAAGTAAGGCATTTACCACCGGCAAATTAATATTCATGAACATGGGAAAGTGCATGAGAACAGGCTGCCTCTCCTACACCAAGGGCCCCCAGATGGCAGCAGCGCTGGTGGTGCAGTGCTTGAGTGCTCAGCAGCTAGCGAAAGGTTAGCAAACTGAATACAATTCAGTCTCTTCAGGGACCTCAGGTGTGGCAGTCCGTTTCTGTGAGGATTACAGGCTTGGAACCCTGAGGGGGCAGGTCTACTCTGTCCCAGAAAGTCGCTCTGGGTCAGAACTGACCCAAATGCAGTGGCGTTTTAAGATGGGAAGACTTGAGATCTCTCCAGTCTCAGCAAGTCACCAGGTTAAAGGTGAAATAAATAAAACGTACTGCCAAAAAATAAAAAAAATAAAACGTACTGCCATCGAGCTGATTCCAACTCCTCACAACTGTATAAGAAAAGGAGGAACTGCCCCTGGGGGTTTCCTGGACTGTCAATCTTCATGGGAGAGGACAGCTTCTTCTTTCTCCCTCGCAGAAAGTTCCCAGCTGTTACCTTGAGATCAGCATCTCAACTTGTAACCCTCTACACTACCAATGGTGACACAGTGGCATATCTTGTTATCTCTAGCTTCAGATGCTAATAAAACAAATCACATATCCCGAGTCAGTGTGTACACCTTATTCTGACAGCCAGTCAATGTGCTCCCGATGAAACATGATTCTGCTTCCAGAATTAAGCGCCATGCTTATTTAGACAAACCAAGCTCTCTTCAGCTCTGAATCTTACCTGTGGAATCTTCCAAATCAATCAGTTTGGGCATTAAGCTTTCAGGTAGTTTTTCAGGTAGGTCATAGCCATTCTTCCTAGCAACGACCAGATGAAAAGCAGCACAGAACTCATCCAGTGTCAGGGCCCCATCCTTATCAAAGTCAGAGAGCTCCCTAGAAGACAAATGCTCTATGAATAGGATCAAATCCCACTCTGTGCCCCCTCAGTTCTCAAATTGAAGAAAACCTTTCCCAGAGAAAGCACCCCAAAATACATAAATAAAATAATAATCACTTTAAAAGTCCCATAGATATAAAAATGTGTACTTGGGGGTGGGGGTAACTGTAGAATTGAGGTGGTGGGGACAGAGAATTGACTCATGGTAGTATTTCTTAAGTGATTCTGTAGGTTTCAAAGTCCCATAAAAAAAATATCAACAAAAAACTAATCGCCTACTGTGGAAGTGGGCAAAGGACCCGAATAAAAGTTTCACAAGGGCAGAAATCTGAATGGCCAATAAACATATGAGAAAATGTTCCGGATCATTAGCCATAAGAGAAATGCAAATTAAAACAATTATGAGATACCACCTAACACACACCCTCAAAGATAGCCCAATTCAAGAAATCAGAAAGTGACCAGTGCTGTGGGAGAGAGGGACTGTGAAGTGACAGGCACTCTCGTCCACTGCTGGTGGACCTGTAGGCATGTGCAGCCACTGTGAAATCACTTTGGCGATTTCTGAAACTGAGGGAGACTGAGCTGCCATGCGACCCAGCAATCCCTTACTGGGCATAACCCACAAGAGGCGAGAAACAAACCACGGCCAGACATTTGTGCTCCAATGTTCACTGCGGCACAGTTCACAAATGCACGAATTTGGAAACAACCCAAATTTCTATCAATAGACGAATGGATTAAAAAACTATGGTACATACATACAATTAAGTGTACTACTCATTGCTAAAAAGCAGTGATGAATGTATGAAGCATATCGCCGCATGGGAAGAACCGGAGGAAATTATGCTAAATGAAGTAAGCCAAGCACAAAAGGACAAGTACAACATGAGTTCGCTGAGGTAAGTTTAAAAAAAAAATTGCAAAAGAGGGACAGGGAAAAAGCTACTGTATACAAACATTCCTGGGGTGAGGTAGAAGTAGTATGGCAAGGGAAAAAGCTACTGTATACAAACATTCCTGGGGTGAGGTCGAAGTAGTATGGCAAGGGCCAGATCAAATCCAGGGATACATATGGTAGCCAAATAAAAAGGAGGGGGGAAAAAGAAAAAAAAAAAAAAGGCATGGGTAGCAGGGAAACAGGGCACTAGCCTACTCAAGGGGAGGGTATTGTTTATATCTCCACAGGGAAAGAGGGACCAGACTTCAACCCTGTGCTGCAAGATGTGAATGCAACATACCGGCATGAAGCAGGGAACTAACAGAGAGGTCTGAGGGTCCGGCCCCAAGCCCAACCAAGTGGACAGAATTTATTTCAGAGGACAGCATTGAAGCTATAGCTCAGTGAGAGGGACACATCTGATCAGAGCACACAGGAACAAATGAAGGGGGAGGAAAAGAGATTGGAGCACATCCTAGCCCACCAAGCCTTGAGGACGATATTCCTGCTCAGAGCAGCCAATGCACAGAGAGGACCATAGGCCAGCCCCACGAGACAAGACATCCCTCACTGACCCGTAGCCCCACGGGGACAACACTGGAGACACAGTGCGGGAATTGTGCCCGATCTGACCCCACCATACTGAGGCGAAACACTAAGGGCATGCAACAGAACAGCAAGGGAGCAGAGCAACAAAGTCCTGAGGAAATACCAAAAATAGACTTTGGGGTCAGGTGTGGCACTCTATCAAACTCGACGGGAAAACACTCCTAAAGGTCAACAAACAGACACTGAACTATTTACAGGCTTTTCTTTCTTTTGTCAACAGGACTGATGGT